TGCCACGTCGGCTCCGGTGTCCCTGGGAGGGTCCGTGTGCGACCTGCGTTTGCTCCTGCGGTTGATCTGTCACCAAAAGCTAACAGAGTGTGCGTGTCCTGCCAGACTCAAAGAAGGGGCCCTGGATGCTGGGCACCTGGCAGTCTTGTCTGTGCGGGCTCTGCTTTCCGGAGCCCAGGTGGAGCTGCACAGGGTGATTGGGGTGTCCAGCATCCCTGCCCTCCACATAACTGTAGCATGATTGGCTTTGTGTATTAAGGGGTTTCTGTAGGATTCCATGATTAAGGCCTCTGCTATGAAAAAGGGGAAAACTTTCAAAAATGCAAACCAGCAGCCTGTATGTGAGGCAGAGGAGGGGAGGCCGGAGAACCGCTCGGCTTGCAGCCTTGGGCTCCCTCCATAACCACACGCAGTGCCTCATGCTGTCCTCGACAGCATGAGCATGAGGCTGTGATTAAAAGTGACAGTGGGTATAAAGCCTGGTCGAGCTCCTGTAATCCTCCTCATACGAATACAGCTCTCTGTTTCCTCCATTTGCTATAGGGCACGTGCACACGGATGGGCAAGGTGGTTTTCTGTTTCTTAAAGGCATTGTGATATGGTAGGATTCTTTGGTTATGAGACAGAAAACCCAACTTAGGTTGGCTTAAGGAAAAAGAAAGGGGAATTAGCTGGTGTCACTGGAAGGTCCAGGAGTACATCTGCCTTCAGGCATAGCTGGATCTAGGTACTCAAGCAGTGTCAGCAGGAAGCTGCTGTCCTGTCTCAGCTCGGCTTCCCTTTGTTCTGGCTTCATTCTCAGGAGGGCTCTCACCAGGTACCAACAAGGTGGCCATCTGCAGCTCCAAAATCTGCTGAACCAGTTAAACGGACCTCCCAGAAATAGGGCTTCCTTTTCCTGTAACTTCTGTGGAAGTCCACAGCAGGTGGTCTTCCTCTGGTCTGGCTTGGGTGGTCAGTGGGCCATCCCTGAACCGGTCGTTGTCAGAGGAATATGATTCATTACTGAGCGAGGCCAGGGTCATGTGGTGAACCCTAAGCTGGGAAGTGGGGCCCATTTCTTTTCAACTCCATCACCTGAGAGGGAGGAGGGAGGTTGCCCTCAAAGGAAACTCACAAAGAGATGGAAGCTGAGCAGGCAGGAGTGGCAGATGGCCACTCTTTATGGCCCACATGGTAAGGACAGGGTCCCCGCTGTTTTAACTCAGCTTTATTGAATTAACAGTTTACATCTGATAAAATTCACCAAGTTTTAGTGTACCATTGGATGAGTTTTGACAGAAGTGCTCAGCTGTGTGACCAGCGATCATGATGTAGACCATGAGGGTTGGCATTTGATCCATTTGACACACCCTGTCCTGCTGTGAATTCCCCGGAGCAAATGATTGAAACCCCTTCAACTTCCGTTTCCTCACCTGGAAACTGGGGATGACTTCCTTATATGATGGACTTGTTTTGAGACTTGAGCACAATATAATATGAAATATTATATGACAGAGCATAGTGTCTAGTATATAACTGTGCTCAAGGAACTGTAGTCCGTGTTACCTGCTAATTAAAGCAGGTGATGCATATAAAGATCAGAGCACTCTGCCTGAATAGAAGATTCTCTGTGATTATTACGGGTTTTACCTGCTTGACTAACTTTTTTTTTTAAGATTTATTTATTTATTTGAGAGAGAGGGGCAGAGAGAGAGAAAGAGAATCTCAAGCAGATTCCCTGCTGAGCACAGAGCCCGACTTGGGGCTCGATCTCACGACCCTGAGACTGACCTGAGCCAAACCCAAGAGTCAGATGCTTAACGGACTGAGATCCCCAGGCGCCCCTAACTTCTTCTTGCCCTCTTCTTAATCTTTTTTCTTCTCTCTCTTGGAAGAACAAGGAAGCTAAGTCCCCTTTGGGCTGCTCTGTGCTCATCTCCTTTGGTCCTTTTCTCCTTGAGAAATTGCCATAGGGATTTTTCTAAGGGTTTAAATTGATTGAGTTGGCTGCAGAGAACCATAAACCAGTCTTTCTCTGATTTGATTCAAGGGAAGAGGGAAACAGCTTGCTTTCAAAGGGACCACTCCATCAGGGCAGCAAGAATGTTTGCATCCATGAAATGGAATTAAGTTTTATGCTGGGAATTCACATTCCTTCCTTCTCCCCCCTCCCCACCCCCAGGAATGCCCTGCTGAAATAAAGGTTAAAAGTATTTCACTTATCAATTTTAATTGATTAGATTGCTAGTTGAGATCACTTAACTGAGCCTTTTTGGGTAGTTGGCCATTAAGAAAGTAATGGCTGTCTGTCTTTACCCAGCCCGGTCACAAATTATATCTTTGCTAAAGAGTGCCATCCAGAAAATACTAGGACTGGGTGCCTGGGTGGCTCAGATGGTTAAGCGTCTACCTTCGGCTCAGGTCATGATCCCAGGGTCCTGGGATCGAGTCCCACATCGGGCTCCCGGCTCAGCGGGGAGCCTGCTTCTCCCTCTGACCCTCTCCCCTCTCATGCTGTTTCTCTCTCGCTCGCTCTCTAAAAAATAAATAAAATCTTAAAAAAAAAAAAGAAAATACTAGGACTTATGGATTTTATGAGCACATGGTACTAGAATAAGATAGCATGTGTTGTTGTTGGACTTTGTGTCCTTTTTTCTTTGTATTTCTCCCGGTGATTATTCTTAAATGCAGGAGTGTCTGACCTTCCAGTGGGGAAAAATCAGTATGCTTCGCATGTCACAAAATGCCTTCTACGTATATAAAATGTAGGCAACATCATAATGTAGGCAAAGGCATTCATATTTGCCGAATGATTGGAAGCCGGGCATGCTTCTCATGAGCGCCGTGATTTGAAGAAAGCTGACTCAGGGAGAAATGCTGGGGGCTGGTCAACTTTCATGGAAGGTGATGTGATCCAGGCGGACAGGCTCAAAGGCACACCAGCCCCACACCGCAGGAAGAGGCGGCTTAAAGTGTATTTACTGACCTTGTCGCACTCTGATAAGAAACCACGGCCTAAGAGTACACAGAAGCCACGTCACGTGTCTGCTGACCAGCTGCCTCTGGGCAGGTGTGCCTCTGGGCAGGTGTGCCCGGTGACCTCTGACACAGGGGCTCTGGATAAGGAGCATGGTGGAGGCCATCGCGCCCTGCAGAAAGAGGCAGAGCTGACTGTGCTCAAGCCTGTTTTGTTTCCGCTGGAGAGGAGAGTGGCGTGGGGCGCAGGTCAGGGACTGGCAGCCGGGAGGGAAGGGGGATGGGAAGGGAAGGCTAGCTTGACGAGATAAAATAGATGAGACTTTTAGAGAGAATGGCACCATGAATCTCCACATACCCCGCCTGCATTTCAGAGGTTATTACTCTTTCACTACGTCTCATTCCATCTGCTCCGCCATTTCTCTTTTCAAAATTACCTCCCCTCACCTCCGCCCTCCCTGAGTGTAGTAAAGCCAATGGAAGACATCATATCATTGCATCTATAAATACTTCTCTCTCACAGAGAAGGACTTGGGGCTGCTCTTTGGCACTGAATGGGTCACCACCGTTACAGATCATGAGCTTCCCCAGCCCAGCTGCGGCTCTGGGTGGAGCAGGGACAGGAGGGCGGGCCGGCTGGCCCCACTGACATCTGCCTTGGCCTTCCCTGGTGTAGTTGGAGGTTGTTGGCCTTGACACCTTGCTCGGGGTCTTCATGTTCCTGAGGCTCAGTGGCCTGGCCTTTAAAATGGTTCTAAAAGACGTGCAGGGAGAACCATTGAAAATCAGATGTGATCACATTGGGGAAGCACATGGTGCACAGCAGGTGCTCAGGGGGCAGGGCAGTGGGCGGCAAGAGCTAGCTGTTTCCCCTGGTGCAGCTGCTGAAACAGTGATGTAGAACTCATACTTCAGGGCTCCCAGGGGTGGGCATTTTCTGCTCTAACAACATTTGGAAGAGCATAGCCTGACATATTTAAACCAGTTTGTCACTTGTATGATGGCACTGTTTTGAGGGGTAAGAAGACTGCACTGGCTACTTGGGACCAGACGAAGGGTGGTACACCCCCACCCAGGCAGGGTGCTCCTGTATGTTCCCTCATGGGCCTACTGACCGACAGTCCCCGGGAGTGCCCTGAGGACAAGCAGGCTGTGAGGAGAAGCCAGGTCCCTGCCAGGATTGGCATCAAAGCCTTCTGAAAGGAGTCTTGCCTGTTTCTAGAAAATAAGGCCAATCACACTCAGGAGAAATTTCCCCATTATCTAAATATCCTAAGTAGATACCAGGCATCCTCAGGAAACTTCTGGATTCCTTCCCAGCCTTTTCCACGTAGGCACTTGACATGTACACGTTGTACCCATAACTTGTGCTTCCCACACCTCATCTTGTATTCGGATTTTCTAAATCCATTCATGAGAACCATTCAACAAAACCCATCTACTCGTTCAGCTACATGTTGAGCACCTGCTGTATGCCAGGCACTGTGCTGGGAGCTGAGATGCATTAGGGAACTGATGACAGACTTGGTCTCAGCTCCGTGGTGCTTCCGGTTTGGGGTGGGGGGGGTGGTGGTAGAAGGACTGCCAACGGGAAATCGCACGTTGTTTGAGATGGTCCATGGAGGTGACAAACGGGGGTCTGTGTTCAAGTATAACTGGGAGAAAAGACCCCCTACGCTGGTTAGAGAAGGCTTCTCTGGTCAAGTGCCATGCAGGGAGGGACCAGAAGATTCTGAGAAAATGCAAAACTGAGGCCCACCAGATGGGAGAGGTGACACTGGAAGATGGGAGAGAGCATGGCCTGTCCGAGAGCTGGTGCGGCCAGCAGGTGAGGAGCTGGGGAGAGAGGGGCTGAGATGAGCCAGGTCTCAGGTCCAGGGCCGTGGGAAGCCATCTGAAGGTCTACTGGAACGGCCAG